GATGTTGGACTTATTCAAACAAGTCATCTTCCCCGTTTGTTTGTCTATTGGCGGTGGGTCTCCTCGCCTGGGTCTTCACTGATCACCTCGGCGGCCTTGCTTGCTACGTGGTGTGGGGTAGCTGGCACTGGTTCTGGCCGCTTGTTTCTGCCAACTCGTCCATTCTCCGATTGCAAGGTTCCGTTGCAAACAGCGGCTCGAACGGGAGATCTTGCAGAGCCTCTTCGATGCAGCTGGGATTTCCAGCGACCCAAGTACGCAATGTCGCGCATGCCTAGCCCCCCTTCTCGTGTATATCATCGCTCCCGATCTCCTGGCTGAATGGCCTGAGACATTTCGCTGTCCAGTGGGTCTGCCAGGTTTTCACCACAGTTGCGCCTTCGACACAAACTTTCCCTCGCATGTCGGGTCTCCACAGCGCTCACCCCTTTGGCCTGTTTGCCCAGTTCGGACTTTGGGGCGAACAGCTTGGCCAGCCTTTGGTCCAATCGATTGTCGCTTCACCATGACCTCCGCTGCCTCCGCCGACGCTCAGCGTCCACATTGCTGCACACGAGTAGGCCGGCCTCATAGGTTCTGCCTTGGTGCCCCGGTTCCATTTGTCTTCCGACACCTCTCCGATCTTTACCTCTTTGGCCCTCTTCTCTGGCGCCATGTTCCTCTTCGGCCCGTTTGCACAATGTCAACTGCCTGTCGAACCACTTCATGCCCCACTCGATCGACGCGCCGCCGCCTTGGAGAACCCTTCCAGAGGACTCGCAAGACCAAGAGGGTGGAGTCCAAGAATGGTGGCGATTGACCGGCCAAAATTCACGTTGGCGGGGGATGGCTACAAGCCCGCGCGCGCGCGCGGGCGAGACCTCCAGGAGGGAGGTGTGTGGCAGAAGAGTTGTAGGATGGAACCAACAGGAGCGCAATGTCCCACAGTGCCAAATGGAGAGGGTGAGGGACAGGCGCCAGGGAGCTTCAGTCGGTTTCGCTGTGCCGGTCGCGAGTGTTTGTTCGCGAGCGCGACCTGCGCCGGGCCCGGGGCGTGGGGGAGACGCCATCATGGCGGCAGCGGAGGTGGAAGGAGTAAAAGATCAACCAACGAGCATGGACGCTACGAAGGGCCGAGGAAGCGTTGGAGCAGGCGAGCATGCAAAGGGCTTCGCCGACTTAGACACAAAGTTCGTCCTGTTGTGTTTGTTCAGCGGGCCAACGGACACGCTGGCTGAAAGCTTGGAACGGGAATGCGACAAACACCACGTGGCCCGCGAGCTGGATTTGGCGGCTCCCAGAGGCGTCATCGAAGGGGATGTGGCCGGACACTTTGAGACTACCTGCGCGGAGGCTTTCCGCGCGGGGCCTTTTGACGGGCCCACTGGAATCCAGAAGAAGGGGCAGCGCCCATGCGTTCGGGCAAGGAGATCAGCTGCCGGCAGGGGCACGCTCATGGCCAGCCAGACGTCGCACTTGATGAAGAAACAGTGAGGTGGACTCGCGCAAAGCTAGAGGCGTGGACGCTCCCCGAGATAGAGGGACAGGCCGTCTGCGCACGCCAGCAGGGCAAAGGTCAGGTGGTTCAAGGGCTGGTAGGCTGGAGGGCTTGAGCTCACTATCAAAGGTTTGCAGGTTGAGAGCCTTGTGTCGAAGGAGAAGACGGAGCCGGTGGGGGCACATATCCTGACGATCGTGGCAAAGCTCGTCGTGGCCGTTTGGAAGAGGACCCTCAAACTTGAATTCTGGCGACACCAGACGCGGGTGAAACAGTCTCCGAACGCCAAAAGAAATGGTTAATCAACGAGGAAAAGAAATTGAGGAAGACATCAGCCAAATTCGTGAAACAGGACAGGCGAGACCTCGAGCGATCCCTGTCTGACATGTGGCTACGGGAAGACCAGCGAAGAAAGAAGAGCGAGAGCTTGAAACCAAGCCCTCAAAGCATGCCCTGACATCGTGGTTCATCATCCTCAGTGGCGGAGTGCCCCGTCGACGATCACATCACGTTGCCCCACACCAAGGATGTCCTCCGGAGTGCCCGCAAAATGGAACGCTTTGAGGCCCACATCCTCGAATGGCAGCGAGGCATGGAGGACCACAGAAGTCTGCCTGATTGATTTGACAGATGCGTTATGTGCCATTTCGCGGTCAAGGGTATGGAGCTCAAGAATTGTGCGTCGCCTGGACTTCACAAAGAGGAGGCGCTCGTCCGGACCGCTGCAGGAACCTGACAAAGAGGGTTGGAAGATTCTGAGCAGGAGCAAGCAGTCAGCAGCAGCAGCAAACCAGCAAAGCAAAAAGGTAGCAGCAGCAGCAGCAGCAGCAGCAGCCAACGAGCAAACGAGCAAACGAGCAACAGCAGCAGCAGCAGCAGCACTAGCAGCGGCGGCGGCGGCGGCGGCGGCAGGGGGCAGCAGTGGCAGCAACAGCAAAGCAGCAGCTGCAGCACAGCAAAGCAGCAGCAGCAGCAGCAGCAAAGACTCGTTTCGGGGGGCTGCGCAGACGAAATTGAAAGAGAGTGGAGACTTATGGTCGAGGGCAGAGAAAGAAAGCACCAAAACAGTGCCCGCCCCGAAAGCCCCAACACAGGCAACGCACAACGACCCCAGCAACAGCAGCCAGCAAAGCAACAGCCGCAGCCTTCACGATTCAAGCAACAGCAGCAGCAGGACGTAGCAACAGCAACAGCAGGCAAACAGCAGCAGGATCAGCAGCAGCAGCTGCAACCAGCAATAACGAGCAGCAGCAGCCAGCAGCAGTAGCAGCAGCAGAAACGAGCAGCAGGAGCAGCAGCAGCAGTAGGAGCAACGAGCAGGAGTAGCAGCAGCAGCAGCAGCAACCAGCGGCAACAAGCAGCAGCAGGAGCAAGCAGCAAGCCTCAAGCAGAAAGCAGCAAGCAGGAGCAGCAGCAGCGCCAGCAGCCAGCAACCAGCCACCAGCAACAAGCAATGGCAGCCTCCAGCAGCAACAGCAGCAGCAGTAGCAGCAACGAGCGGCAGCAGCAATAGCAGCAACCAGCAGCTGTAGCAGCAACCAGCAGCAGTAGCAGCAATCAACAGCAGCAGCAGCAGCAGCAGCAGCAGTAGCAGCAATCAGCAGCAGCAGCAATCAGCAGCAGCAGTAGCAGCAACCAGCAGCAGCAATCAGCAGCAGCAGCAGCAACAACAACAACAACAGCACCACCAGCAGCAGCAGCAGCAACTAGCAATGGGCAGCAGCACTAGCAGCAACCAGCAGCAAGCAGCAAGCAGCAAGCAGTAGTAGTAGCAGCAGCAGCAGCAGCAACCACGAACCAGCACCAGCGACAGCAGCAAGCAACAAGCAGCAAGCAGTACAGCTAGCAGCAAGCGGTACGGCGGTACAGCAAGCAGCAAGCAGCAACAAGCAGCAGCAGCCAGCAATAGACCACAGTCGATAAGCCAGATCACTCCTAAATTCTGAGCGGCGCAGGGTGGAGTCGAAGGTCTGCCACCAACTCGAAAACAGCTAATCCGCAAGTAGTGGCCCGTTGTCAGGGTCACATCAAACTCCTGTTTAAAAAGCGTTTACAGTTTTTCTATCGATTGAAAGAAAGTTTAGGCTTTGCATCAAAAAAATCAAATTACAGCGTGGAAGCAGCCAAGCAGTGGCAGCAGCACACAAGCAGCAGCACACCAGCACCACCACACAAACAGCACCAGCAAGCAGGAGGATGATGGCTCTGGGCGAGATCCGGGCGAGATCCAGGCGAGGTCCAAAACTGCACACCCCCGACCAAAAACTATGCCAAGCTAGACAGTGGCAGAAAAGCGGTACCAGCAAAGCGCGCGCGCTACCACAAACATCTGGCAGCAACACCCTGCCACGAGCACCTCTTCCTATACTGGAAATAAGAACCCCACTAGCTCTCCCAGTAGCCGTAATCTGTCCAAGCCCACTGGTGTTCCATTGCGAACTGCACTGGCAAGCCTGGAAATGACTGTGTTGCTTTCTGTACTTGTCTCGCATGTATGTGGAAAATTCCTTGTGGACTGCTTGCAGGACCCATTACAAAATAAGAAACTCATTGCTTCAGCAGGCGTTATTAACCCCTTATCGGTTGCCAGTACAGCGTTAAAACACCAACCTAAAAGTAGGTCCCTTTCCAACCAACAGAGTTTGCTTGTGCTTGGGAAAAAGAGACGACTTTCCGCAGAGCCTTCCCCCAAGGCAAGGTAGCAATCCCTAAAAAAAAGTGACGACATTGTCTTTTGCCTGTATGAGGTTTGGGCGGACCCGCTGCTCATGGGGCGGCTGAGTTCGGCCATCGGCCACCTGATTCAAAGCCTGATGTCCCCGTGGGCCAGATGTACATCGATGACATTCTCCTCTTGCTCAGAGGCCCGAAGAGCGAGAAAGAGCAAGTGCTGTCGTTGGTCCTGTAAATGGGCCTTTGCATTAGCCTGGAGAAGGGAGAGCGCGGCGCGCGAGTGGTGTGGCACGCAGATCGAAGTCCATGAGAACACCGGCAGGGGGAGGCACATCAGCTTCCGAGTGCCTCCCAAGATGCCACGATAGCACCTCGAGGGATCGCCGACAGGATGGCCAAGTTATTGCCTGGATCGCGGAAGTGATGGATGACTCCTGCCCAAACATCATCTGAAACCTGAAAGTGCGTCAGGGCGTCCGGTATCACGCGTATGTCAGCCAGGCCATGCCACCCGCGACTCACGAATCGCCCAAACACATTTTCTACCGCCGCACTTAGGGTGGTGGTGGGTGGGTGGTTGAGCCAAAATGGTCACACCCACCACCACCCATCAACTTTAATTCTCAACCTGTCTGGCAAAGGGTTTGCTCAATAAACGACTTGGGCCTACCAGCCCTATCAATGGGCTTGGTGGCTGTCCATATTTATTTGACATCACATGGGCAGTCTGCATCACAATGCGAATACAAAGCAGCAAATGCGTTGAGGACATATTCTAGCCTTGCTTGCTTGAGCTTTGGGTTTCTCGGGCATCCCTTTTTCAGCTTCAGGGCCAAATCTCACAGCGGGCCTGGATGACCGTCCGGAAGCCTCCCTTCAGAGCCTTGAGGCAAAGGCTACAGGAATCATATCAAACTTACACAGGAACGGATCTCGATGTGGCTTGGCAATACAATGACAGAATCAGAATACCTGCATTAGTTGTGCTTGGCATCGGGCTCGCTCATTCTTTGCCACCCCTTTGTCTTCTTCAGGCTTCACTTTGCCCTCCCAAATTCAGTCAAAAATGCAACGATGAGTCCAAGCTTGAGTTAAAAGGCATGGCAGCAAGCAACTGAGCACCTTCCCTTTAGCCTTTGGCTTTGCAGTTGCCATGGGAGAAGTCGGGCCTGTCTACCCCAACACTACATTACAATGGCAATAACATCGAACAAAAGATTCTCCAACGAGTTCTGGCAGCAACCCTGGCAACCAGGTTTGGCCTCCAGACTCCAGACGATAAATGCAGTTCAGTTCAAGTGCAGTAAACCTGACACTCCTACATAACACTTTGATATTCCTTCCTCAAAGCGTGCTATATAAAACATGTCATGGCCTCTCATTCAATCTTGAAGATTCAGCTTGGGCCGCTGTACCGAGTCAAAAACATCTATGGAAAGTGGCACAGTATCTGACAGAACATAATAGAAGCGATTGAAATGCACCCGCCTTCCTGCAGAGGTAAATATTAAAGGGAAAAGAAAGGGCCAACGGGCTATGCAGCTTGTGTGCATTGCATGTCCCACAGCATCCAATGAAGTTTTGGAGTTTTAGAATTCGATGGTGAAAACGGTGAAAACCGTCCTCATGTTGGCTCTTCAGTAAGCGCAAACGCAGGACCTTGACTTGCAGTTTGTCGGTGTACACAGGTGTTACTACAATGGAAACAGCGCACCTCGTTGGACACATTTGTAATCTCTTCATGATGGACTATGGCCTGTGGGACCTGGAGGAATAAATGAATAATTCAAATTCAATTCTTCGGGCCTTGGGTTGAGCCTCAACGGTGGAATCTGAAGCACCTCTGCACAACTTGTGAGCGCAAACTCACTCTCAATCCAAGGTCCACTGCTTACTCCTGTAAAGCACGGCTAAGGCGCATGCCAGCACTAGGAGCGGTCTCAGGTGGATAACTGCAAGCAAAAAAACTGTGCAAATTGTTTGTCAATCGCAATACTGCTCTTGCTTCAATAGAAGCTGGTCCAGCCTCCCCGCCCCTTCGTCTGCAGGAACAGCTTGACAAGGGTTGGTCACCTTCACCTGGGCCTCTACGTGGGGATAGCCTTGCTGTGCTTTGTGTCCGCAGCTAGGCTCTGGAGAATCGCTTGCACCATCCTTCAGGTCAGACAGTGACGCCGCCTAGCAGCAACTTCTACTTTTCCATGTCAATTGGAGCAGCTGACACCTGCTAAGCTGTCGGCGTCACGGCACGCTGACTGCAACCGCCGCTGGATTTCTGCCACTCGCCTTCTATGGAAGGAAGAGAATCAAAGAAAAAAGAAGTCTTTATTTGGGGGGCACTCAGACTGAGCTGACCATAGTTGATCCCAGCCTTAGTCTCACTGATGGCCGCCAGCGGTAGCTAAAAGTTTGAAAAACCAATCGAGTTGAAAACCTGGATTCCTCCAAAGTTGAACACACGTCACTCAGGACTAGTTTAATTGGTCAGTGGCGGCTGGTAGGCTTGAGCACAGCAAGATCACGGCGCGACAAAAGTCGCAGAGATATATCAATCTCTCTTGGCGCCTCACCGCCTCTTTCAGCACACTGCTCTGCACCTGCAAGGCAAAGAAATAGTAGTGCACTCTAGTCCAAATACCATGTAAGAATATATAAATATATATATACAAATATAACATCTTCAACGGTTCCATGATGTTCCATGCCTATCTTGCTTAGCTGCTTTTGGCTTGTCTGTGGGCTAACCCATGCAACCCATTGACATGCCAACCTCCATCCCGCGTCAAAAGCTACTTCGGGCTTGATCAGTGCTTCTGTCCACTTGTTTTCCGCCCTCTCTGTCTGCCCCAGCACATCCATGTCTTTCCTAGAGGGGCTGTACTGCCTCCCAAGATGCACAGTGTATCCACTATGCACTATCAAAGCGCCCGCATCCAGCCCTTTACTGTCTATATAAGTGTGCACTCCAACGCACAGCGGCGTGAAACAAAAGGTGCATGGTGTCCCGCCTTCCATTGACTGCAGCTTGCATGTTTTGAATTCTTGAGCCATCTCATCTGCCAGCGCAGCCGATAACCTCCTCTGTTTTCAGCCTCGACGCTACTCTTTGGAAAGAAATTATACAATGTCTCCAAGACCATAGATGTCTCTTAAGGGCAATTTCGCACCATAGGCCGTCCTCATGTTACTTGCGTTGCAACTTAACTGAGCCACTGTGGGAATCTTGGGAATACTGTTTTGGTTTGTTTCTTTTCTTAGCAGGGGGCAATTGGTTCTGGAGTGCGCAGTGCCGAACGAAGACCGCACTCTCAAAACGTGATATTCCCGAGAGACACCTCATGTACCTGGTATCAGTGAATGTTGAAACAAAGTCGTCAGCCAAAGAACTGTTGAACCACAGGCTGCTTCCTTTGCCTCGTGCAATCTTGCCTTTGAGACGTTGACGTTTGCTTCATGGAACTTGTGAGCCCTTGCCTGGCCTTGATCGTTTTACGTTAACGGGCGGGCGGGCGGGAGCGGGCGGGGGCGGGCGGGGCGGGCGGGTGTGTGTGCGTGCATGGCGCGGGTGGAACCAGCAAAGCACAGCAAAAAACAAGCGCATTGCAATCGAGTTTGCTGTTCATGAGTCGGATACGTCAAGCAGCAAAGGAGGAAAACAAACGTGGGCTAGCATGTAGTGCAACACATTATATCATACATGAGTCACGAATTGGTACCTGGGTCATGAAGATGGCCAAAACTGCGGCGCGGTCAGCACATCGCTTTTGAACGTCTGAATTGCTCACGGTTTGGTCGGTCGTCTGGTGTTTTTCTCTGATTTTTGCCGAAAGCACGGCGAAGGGTTTCTTCCAAAGGACATCTGTTCACATCATCTTCCAACATAATCTTTATCATCATCGCTATTATCACATCATCATCATCGTCATCATCATCATCATCATCAACGTCATCATACATCAGACATCATACATCATACATCATGACATAACATGTGGGTTTTGCACATGTGGGCTTTGCAGGTGTAGAGATACAGGTGTAGATGTGTAGGTGTTGAAACACCTCAATCACCTACTAAATTTGCAGGTGTAGAGATACAGGTGTAAATATTAAGATGTTGAACACCTGCCAAAACACCTACTAAATCTCACCTACGAAAACACTTCTTTATAATAAGCTTCTTTCTACTCTTAAGGCGGCGCGCAGGTCCGGCCGGAGCTCGCGAAACGCGACCCTCTGCGAGGATCGTGCGTGTGGAGCGCTCAAACGTGTGGTGAAACGTCGATCGCGTTTGACCCCGAGCGACCCTCTGCGGTGATTGCGCGCGTCGAGCGCTCAAACGTGTAGTGTATTGCGAATTTTGAGTGGGCGCGGGTGACCCTCTGCGAGGATCGCGCGTGTGGAGCGCTCAAACGTGTGGTCAAAACGTCGACCGCGTTTGTGCCCGAGCAACCCTCTGCGGGGATGGCGTGCATCCACGCGTGACTTTTGGAGGAAGTCTCGACGAAACGCTCGTTTTGGGGATTTAGAGGATTTAGAGGACGTCTCGTACGAAACACTCGTTTTGGAGACGAAGCGCAACGCACTTTCCACCAGGGCCGTGCAAATCCGCATGGCACAGCGACACTACGGACGTAATTTCCGGACACCGCGTGTCACAGGCTAAAAGCAAACGTGTCACATAATACCACCAATCATCCCGCTCACCAGCGACACGCCGCGTTTACACCAGCATGTTTCGCGCTCCCCAGTGGCACGGCGCCACGCAAACCCACTTTCCACCAAGGCCGCGCAAATCCGCATGGCAGCGCGACATCACGAACGTAATTTCGCCACACGGTCTGTCACGGACTAGCAGCAAACATATCACATGATACCGCCAATCATCCCGCTCACCAGCGACACGCCGCGTTTACACCAGCATGTTTCGCGGGTGTCCTAAACCGCTCCTGGCACACCGCGCAAAACCCTCTTTTTTGCGCGCCGTGGCTCAAACATCGGTGCACCTCCTTTGCTCGTTCCGAGCTCTGGGGGAGGGAGGGTGGGACTCTAAAACCCTGAGGCCTATGAACCAAAAGGTGAGACCAGCAGCGATCGAAGAAAACCCCGCACACGCAAGCTAAATGCCAAAAGTTTCCTAAACCGCTCCTGGCACACCGCGCAAAACCCTCTTTTTTGCGCGCCGTGGCTCAAACATCGGTGCACCTACTTTGCTCGTTCCGAGCTCCTCCCCCCGCCACATTCGTGACCGGGCGCGAAACGCGCCGCGGTCACAAGCAAAGGAGGCGGACAAAGCTAATTGGGGGTGAGATCTGCGTCAATCATCTTCTGAGCGACACCCTTAGCCGCTTCCCTTGCCTCCCAAATATAGGTTTGGAAGCTGTCACTAGCCCAGCGCCCCCATCTCTTTACGAGCGCTGTGTCTTGGTACTGGGCCCAAAGAGCACTTGCGCCGCCGAACCGCAAGGAATGCGTTCCCAAATCTCCTCCAGGCAGGTTCAAGGCCTTTGCCGCTCTTTCGATCAACGCTTGAATGGCGGCACGTGGGATAGGCTTCTCATCAGAAGCTCGAAAGAGAAGCTCTTCTGTCTCAGCGCCACCTTGATAGCGTTGCGGGAAGTGTTGATACAGGGTGATCATGGCTTTAACAGCGCAGACCTTTCCCGAAGTCTTAAAATGATTCCTCATCTGTCCCCGGTTGTAGATGTCTGTCTTCGACCCCCTCACCAGGAGCGTGACTTCGTCCGCCTCAACAATCCTTCCCAATTCCAACGCCTTTCCATTCAACTTGAGGGTTACATCACTCCCTCTGAGTCCTCGTTTGGGATCCTGATACCCCACGTCCAGGTACTCTGAGGCTCGGAGTAAGAAGAAAAAGCCCAGAGCCAGGGCCTTGCAAAGGAGGCTAGCTTCTTGGTTCTTACCGTATTGCAGGTGGTTTCCGAGCCACTTCAGCATGTCTGGCGTGACGGGCGTCCTTCTCTCCCTCGTTCCAAACCTTCGCTTGAGGCCTGCCAATGCTAGTGGGACCCTTGGCATGTGAGCGAGTGGCTCTGGGTAACCTAAAGTGAGGTGCATGGAACGGATTGCCGAGAGTCGGAGCTTAATCGTTCCGGGTGCCTTGGCTTCATTGGTTGCACAATGGACTAGGTAATCCA